TTTGAGTCCCGTTTTTGTTTTTAGGGTGAGTGGGGTTGTTTGTTTGTTTGTTTGTTTGTTTTTGGGTTGTTCTCCCGCCCTGGCGGGGGGGCGGGCTAGAAGATCTATTAGGTCCCTTCCGACCCTGAAACTATGAAACTATGACTACTGTCTCTTAATAATCCAAATGGTACAGCTAGAATGAATATAACATATGTACCTATAGATAATTGAAGGTTTTTTCATGGGATAGAAATTACAATTTTTTTCCATTCCAAGTTGAGACTGGAGATTAAGAACTCAAAGGGACTAAAGTATTTCATTTTGGAAACAAGGGTCTGGGCTGCCCCACAAGGTATTATGCTGTTTTACATTTTTCCAACCCTAAACATGCGTCCCAGGTAGGCCCACCTCCTTTGCAGGCTACTCCACAATCGAGGCTCCCCACTCCTGGGGTGACACCAACCAACTCAGTGTCTGTGGCTCCCCTGCCTATCATAACAAATCATGCATGCACTTCAGGACTCAATGTGAAAATGTAAATACCCTATCTCCACTGCACCCAATTCATTAGGAAAAAATGTAATATTTTGGCCTATTTTCATAGGAGGACAGAACTGGAAATAGGACTTAATGGGGTCATCTACTCAGACCCTTGCTCAAGGCACGATCATGCTTGAGTAAACCATCCCAGCCAAACATCTTTCTAACTTGCTTTTGAAAATGTCCAGGGACGGAGATGCGGCTTGTTCCAATGTTTGCCCATGTTCATAATCAGAATGGATGATCCCAGGCCCCATCCTTTAATCCAGTCATAAAACAAAAAGGATAGGAATTTACCAATACTATACCTGCTTTTGTATAACCAATTACTCCACCCGAAGCAATCAGCGCGGCATAGCTAAAGCCAATCCAGTCCCAACTCATCCTAGGAACATAAAGTGAAATTAGGCATAATTCATTGTTTTCGTTCCATTCCCACCGTATGTTTCTATTTGCTTACTTGAATATTTATGAAGAGTGCTACAAGAGACACCTCAGGGACCACAGCACACAGCACAACTCCATGCTGTGGAAATGTTGTGGAAAATGCCAGCTCTTCACTTTTGATCATTTTTTGACTACAAAAAATAATAAAGCAATTCTTCTGTTGCAAAGAACTCAGAAAGATCCCAACAGGAATGATTTTAACACTATGGATTCCTGTGGGAAAACTCTGGGTTTATCCTGTAAATCTTGTTTGCAAACTTAACAGTGCTAACACTGTGCAACACCCTGGGACACTTGAAAGGATCTCAATGGTGCCCCAGGGTGAGGTTGAGAATCACGGAACTAGGGAAACTCTCAATGAGGCACCAAGATATGCAAATGTTAAGCAACAATGTTGACTCCCACAAGCTTGACTTTTCCAGCCCTATTCTCCCTGTGTGTCGTCGTCCCCCCCCCTTCCCCTTTCCCCTTCTGTATACAAAACACTCCTTTTGATTCGATTTTATTTCTCCTTCTTATACACCACTCTGTGCACCTCCTTTCACAGCATCTGATGAAGTGAGTTCAGTTTCATGAAAGCTCATGCTATACATCTCTGGTTTGGTTAATCTGCAAGGTTCAACTCTACCCAGTCTGATTTCAGACTAACACATCCAATTCCCTGTCTTGATTCCCATAAAGACACAGTTGCTTCAATGCCACTATGCAATCAGATGAACAGTCACTCCAAGCTTGAAATCCCAACTGCATGAAGGAATATAGCATATTACCAGCATGTATGGGTGGAAGGAAAGGGACTAGCTGTGAACTAACTTGCAGTAAGATAGGCCCACTTGTTGCACTAAGGGGTACTATGGGCCTAGGTCCAGCAAGAAAAACTATAAGCCTCTCTTAAAAAGGGAGACCAGTGGGAACACAACAATGAATGGCTTGGGACAAATAAAACAGGGAAGGGAGTGAGGGTCATAGGTTAACAAGGGATCCAGAAGGGGACACTGAGTGGAGCACACCAGGCAGTGCCCACAGCTCCCTGAATGAGTCGAGGGAGTGCGTGGCCACCGAACAGTGAAACTCTGCCCTGAGATGAGCCTCGTGGATCATGGGTTTGGGCCCTCAAGGAACAGTTATAAGTCTCCCTTAGCAGGGAGGCCACTGGGGACACAGCAACTGATTCTGGGGGGACAACTAAAGAGAAAACAGGGACAGAAGTAAGATCACAGGTTCAAAATAAGCGTGCCAAGAAGGGACACTGAGCAAAGCACACCACACAGCATCCACTGGCTCTCAAACACATCCAAGGAGCCAGTGGACACTGCCCAGTGAAACTCAGCCTAGACATATGAATAGACCAGGGACAGGAAAACTGGCCTGCAGTCCTTAGGAGTCCCCCTGGCCACAGTCTCCTTCCTGGTCAGGTAAATTACTTGTTTGGCTACAGCCAGGAGGAGGTTGACCAGGAGGTCCTAGGACATGGTGGGGTCGTGGATGGGGAGTGCATAAACAAAAAGATGTGGGGAGAAGTGCAGCCAGCACCCCAGGAGGAGTTTCTGGAGGAGGCACTGAAGGGGCTGCAGCCTGGTACACTCCAGGTCCGCGCGTCAGGATCTCCCTCTGCTCTCAGAAGGGGCAGGATGAGGCTGAAGTTGGTTGCTTATTCCCAGTTCTTTTTTCAAAGCTAATCTAGACTTAATAAAAGCTTGTTAAATTTACACTACCTAAAGAGAAAGAATTTCATTAGCTGTGCATATGTACTAATTAGCAACCAGCTTCACAGGGGCAGGTGTCAAGGGAGTCGTGAAGTACGTCAGATACATGCCCATGGTGACAGCTCATAGAGAAGCCACCAGCTGAGGTCCCTAGCGGCTTGTCCTCATTGAGGGTGTCTTGACACTTGGTGTCCAGGTGGGATGGGAGGATAGGAGGGCAGAGGGCACAGCCCATGGGCATGTAGAGCCGTTGGCAATGGACTGTACAGAAGCAGACTGGCAGGATGGGAACTGAAGCACGGTTGTGGCTATACCCCACCCCCCAGGGCAAGTGCTTAGTGGCTTCCACATGCCCTCAAAGTCTCTCCTTGACTAATGGCGTTTGAGAGGGCTGCTCTGAAGCTGTTCACTCAGGACGGGCCATTAGGACTAACTACCCAACAGATATGCTGCAACAGGACTCAGCACAGCTGATCCTCCAAGCTGTCCCAACACAGCCGGATCGCAACTCTCCCCGACTTCCAGCGGGCCCGGATCTGGAGTCAGCCACAGGCCGCAAATCCAGCCCCAAACTGCCCCAAGGGCTGGCC